TCTCTAAATATATAGGTATCCAGGGTGAGGGTGAGGCTACGAACTTTCACCCTCACCCTGGATACCTAGATATTTAGAGATTTAACTCTTGAAAGATATACTGAACAGTTACCGTTATTTGTAACTGTTCAGCAGTTACCGTTACCGGGTAGCGGTGGTAAAGGTAACTGGTAACTGTCACAGCCCTATTCTGACCAATTGCACTGTTGATTTATTGTACGATTTTATCTGATAAACGTTATATTGTATCGCTACTAAAACGTCGTTCACTCAGATTTTAACTTAAAACTGATTCCGCTTAAATCACAGAATATACGGATTCTCAGTTTTATTTTCAATCATAATATATATTTTCTGTGATCCAAAAAAAGTCAGATCAAACTATTATTTTCTTTCTGTCACGTTTTTTACTTGTCAAGTTCCTGAGAAAATTAAAAATATTAAAAATTTAATTCAAACTTTAGTAAGACTAAAGTGAGCGAAGTTGTACAGTGTTACGTCCAGTACCCAATATTTTCTGAAGTTTTAGATCTGTTTTTTACAAATATATCTAAGCAAGTTTTATAGTTTGTGATAAACATCCTACAAATCAAATTTACAATATAGAAAATTTACAATGATCTGATTCTAGTTGGAATTTATAGTCCAAATACTATTTAGATGAGATTGCTTTTAAAAGCTGATTTATACTTTTTTTCTGTTTAAAGCTCGATATGTGTACACAACAAAGGTTATATTAACTGTATAGTAATAAAACGTTTTCTAAACAGAAAATGGCCTTTAATTCAAGATTCTGAGGAAAGAACAACCAGTTTTGAGTGCGTTAGTATAAGGAAAGGTTCAATCTCTAGGGTTGTACATTTTCATGTGAATGTCTCTTTTTCTAGATTATAAATTTATGATGAATAAAATGAGGCTATCATAACAATGATACGTCATTTATTTAACTTTTTAACGCAAAAATCGCATTATCATTTCTGTCAAACTTCATATACAGCGATTAAATTTGTTCGTTTTGTATCTTCAACAAATCTTTCAAATAAAAGTAATAGGCTTAGCAAATATGAACATGTTCAGAAACCATCAGAAAATTCTCCGTTAGAAAATGTATCTTATCTATCAAATGAATTGGTATTGGAAAATGGTGCCAGTGTTTTACACGCATTCGATTATCGCACAATATTAATTGAACAATTAAAATTTCGCAAAGATCGTTATGTAACCGAAGAAGAATGGAAACAATTACACAATGATTGCAGTGAAAAATCAAAACAATTGTTTCCATCATTGACTATGATTGTATGTGAAACATTAAAACATGTTGAACGTGGTCGTTCACTATTTAAGTATACTGAAAAATATCATCAGCAATCGATAAATAATACAGCCATTGCCACATATATGAGTTTATTATCGTTAAATTATTTTTCATCTTTATCCATAGTGGGAGATAAATCATCATCTGTATGGTCTGATGAAATTTTACGATTGTACAATTTAATTAAACAATCTCAAATAAAACATTTTTCATCTCAAACAGCCACAAATATCATTAAAGGTTTATCAGTTACAAATCAATGGGAACTATGTTATCAATATTTACCATTTGTCGATGATGAAAATCATTGTCTAGCTATTACAAAGTACATAAAAGTAAAATTTCGTAGTTAACGTAAATATTTTTCGTCTTATCTATTGTTACAATTTATATTTGTCTATCTGAATGAAAGTAGCATATTATTTCAATGTTAAATAATAATGATTTTTATTTTTAGTGTGGTGCTTGCTGCACTTCATGCAGACGATATTCTATCGGCAATAAAACTTATTACAAATTTATCATGTACTGCTGCTAATAATACATATCCAATTACCGATATAATACACGATATTTTTCGCAATTTAAATCCACAAAATAAAGAATCTCTTCAATTTATTGAACATGTATTCAAATATTTATCTCGAATTGATTCATTTATTAACAAACCGGCTGTAGATAAAATGTTCTTTTATTTTTCCAAGTATGTTGACGTTAATTAATTGAAAATAAGTTGCATATAACAGTTTTCTACTTTAGCTACAAATATGAATCATTTGACTTTGGCACCACCTATGCTTATTCAAAGTAAAACTGATTTGAATTGATTAGTACAGCAAACAAAATTATCTTCGATCTTCATTCTAGTGGTACTTGTGAAAAACTGCCAGGGTTGTGTTTGGAACCAGCTGAAATTACGGATGAAGAGTTTAATATACTACGTCAATACTTGATGGAGAGTGCATATGGTGAAAAAGAAGTTTATAATGTGAGTTATTTATCAATATCACTCAATTGAATGATTGTATGTTTTGTTTTTAGACTACAACACCAGCTGAATTTAAGCGTTTTCAATCGTTTTTAAATGGATCAAATTTTACAACAGTCGTTGACGGTTTAAATGTGTTATATGGAGTGGGCAGATTTGGAACTGATTCATCAAACGTTATGGATAAAGTAAAAATAAGCAATTTTTGATGTTTCTGTGTTATTATTTGAAACTCTCATTTTATTTATTATAGACGACCAAAATTTTGAAAAAAATGAATATAAATCCTAAAAATATGCTGTTTATTGCACGAAAACATGTTATGAAGCGATTAACACCCGATGTCCAATTAGCGTTAAAATCTATGTGTCAGCTATTTTTAGTAGATGATACGTACGTATTCATTTCATTGTTGTCAATCTTTCTCTTTCTCAATTGTTTTGTTGTTCATGTCGAATTCAAAAATGTAGAAATTCTATTATTTTATTAGATCTCGTGATGATTGGTTTATATTATACGCCGCATTTTATTCTAAAGCTCAAATTGTCACTTCAGACATATTACGCAAAGAACGTGGATTTTTTAATGGTGCAGCCGGGAAAACAAGTAAAATTAATTTATTATTTCAAAAATGGCTTTATCGATATCAATACTTGTGGGTAAAAGTCGGATATAAAGTAACTTTTAAGGTACAGAAAAAAAGTTTGATTTTTGATATATTTAATATTAAGTCTAGTTATTTTATATATTTAGGCACCAATGGCTCATAAATTACGTGCTCAATATCGAGACGATGTTTGGCTAATACCATATTTTGATCAACCACCAGTTTCGGTTGGTGAACGACCAGAACAGTGGTTTTACGTTTATAAAAAAGATGAGCAAAAGACAAAGTTATTAAAACAAACATCATCAAACTTTAGATCTTCTGCTCCAGTTGCACAAAAGACAAGACGAAACATATTAATCGTAGACGAATAAATTGATTAGGCTTGTTTTCTGTATGTTTCTGTATAGGAAAATAAAACTCAGATATGTCATAAAAATACGAAAGTTGAGTGAATGGTTGTTTGTTGATCTAGTAGTTTCTGTCTTTATATCTACGCGAACATAATCGTAGAAAACAATCCAAAGCTTCATTCAGCTATTTTTAGTTTTTTTAAGATGACCGCAATTTATTACGCACTGAGCCCCGAGGTGAACGACTGATAGAAATGTTTCTGTTTTTCATCCTTTTCTAATTTGGTCTTAGTCCAGCTGCTCTATTATTGTTGACGAGAAATCCTTGCGTAATATGTCTGAAGTGACAATTTGAGCTTTAGAATAAAATGCGGCG